GCCAGCGCTGGCTTTTGAAATTCTTGATGTTCTGAGCCTGAATTCTCATTTAATTTCACTTCGATGCAAACAATTTTGTAGAGAATTTCACTTTCAAGACTTATTCTAAACCTCCATTCCTCTAAACAATCCTTTCAAAAAAAAGCACTTCCAATTGTTTTCAATCTCATTTCATTTTTGCTTATTTCAATTAATTATTCAACACTCAATCAATTTGTTTTCGATAAATAAACTTACTTTTATAAAATCCTCGTCGATCACTCACAAGCATCAAATAAAGAAATTTGCTAGTAGGACAAGCACGGCACAGNGTTACCTCATCGAGGATGAAATATTGCCATGCCTTGTGCTTGAACGCTCGAATATCTTGTGTAACGATTTTGTAGGATGTGACACAAACGTGAAACATATTCGGTTTTGACCAACCCTTAAAAACGATAAATCCGCTTTGCAACAGTTCATTCAAAATGCAATAATTAACTAATATAATCGGTATCAAATCAACAAAATAAAGAATAAAAACGAAACGAACAACACAACGTCGTGGTGCTATTCGAGCAAATGAGAGTTCAGAAATAACATTTTAAAAAAAGATATATAATGAAGAAATAAAAGAAACCCGTCTCTTCTCGGCGCGTTCCTTTTGCGAACCGAAATAGGTGAGTATTTTGAAGGCAGGACACCACTTCTTCAATTCCATTTCCCAATTCAAAATCACCGACGTTGGCACAACAATCAAATGCGGACCCCAAATCGCTTCTTTACAAGCCAAATGTGCCAGAAGTGCGATCGTTTGAATTGTTTTACCTGAAATATTCATGAAACCGTTTCGAGACTAACAAAATATAAATAAAATTCACGACAAATCCACTTCATATCACTTTTCTTGCTCACAAATGAATTCAATTAAGAGTATATTATTTTTTATAAATCATAATCTGATTTCATCTCGATACGAACAACAAAACAAAAAACATATTCCAACTTCATTTTTAAAAATACGTTCAAAATTCCTGAGTAGCACGACTCAAAACTCAACGGATAAGTATCACTGATTGAAATGCAATTCTCATAGTAATTTACAAACGTAGTCTCATACAACTGCTTCATTCCAGAATGCATATCATACAACAATTTCTGTCGTTCTCATTCGTATTACGTTAACGATGAACGAAAATTAATCATTATCACAGCGTAGTTGCATTGAAAAAAAAAAAAAGAGGTTGAAAAACGCGAACGAATAAATAAACGAAGTTACCTAATCCCATTTCGTCAGCCAAAATACCATTCAATCCCTTATCGTAGAGTGTCACCAGCCAATCCAAACCAACCAACTGATATTCTCGCAGAGTACCACGAATCAGCGACGGCACATCCGTTTTTACTTGTGTCGTTTCGAGCGTGAATCCTTTCGGTTGGAATTTTAGCGCCTCTTCAGCAATATTCGCTAATTCCTTTTGACGATCTTCACTATTCTCGGAATTCAATCGGTCAAAGTTGATGCCTCCCTCGGGTACATCTTTCGATGCGTCCTCTGATGGCGGTATCGATGACGACGACAATTCGCTTTCTTTGATCGATGCTGATGACGCACTTCGCATCGCCGAATCACACTGCGTCGGTGAGGTCGTCGTTGTCTCTTCTTCAACAACTGCAATTATTCCCAATATAATAAACAAAATGTAACTTCTGTGAAAGAATACGACTTTTCATGATTAATTCAATGAATAGAACAATATGCAATAAAACATATGCAACAATATGCAATTAATTCAACCAGTGGAAAGCAATAAAACTCTTTAACAGTTCCCATTAAGGAATACGTAACAGACATTTTGCATTAGAGTTGTGAGTAAAAAAATCGAATAAAGAGCCACGGCTCCAAATGAAATTTGTACAGTTAATACCACCTGACGGGTGCATGAATAAATGGAGTAAAAAAATATACCTTGATCAGGGGATTTCTTTTTCTTTGGCGGAGGTTCTCCACTCTCTGAAGGGATTCGCTGATCTGCCTTCGAAGTATCCTTCTTTCCATCTTGATCTCCCCCCTCTGCCTCTTCACCATCTTCTTCCGAATCACCATCAGTTGTTGTTTCATCCAAATCTTCATTCTCAGATTCGTCGCCATCCGAATGCTCTTCGCTGTCATCACGAGCCTTCGACGGACCAGGTTTCGATGGCAGACCCATACTCGCCAAGTATTCTGCTGGTAGCTGAAATCACGTTTTTCGTTTGTTTCACTTCAATTTCATTGAAACCAAATGATTTTTAAATTACACGATAAGTCTGCGCACATTCAATCATATGCTAAAACTGAATACGGAATATGAAGTAACAGGATCTACGCAAAAACTGAAAGTGATCGCTTGAAAAATAATTCAAAAATTTTTGGAATCTTGTTGACACGTGTGTTCAGCAACTGATTGAGATGCAATAGAAATCATACGTACAGAAGCCAGAAGGTCATCAAGTTCAAGATCCTTTTCACGCTCCAAATCCTGCACCTCCTCCTCCACATTCGTATCAATCGTTGCTTCTGCCTTTGCGATTGTTGTCTCATCGTCTGATTCCGATTCGACGCCACCCGCAAAATCAACATCTGAACATCAGTGATGTACAAACGATATGATCAAATGATTTATTGAAGAAACAACACATTCAAAAGTCAACCCCTCGATGAATTACGCACTTCACTACACCAGAATTCAATAACATTTTCCGATATTCAATCAAAACAATTTCGACAAAATCTTGTCCAACCGATGAAATAAAGTAATACGCCTCAATTTGATGAATATTGCGTTTGACGAGATGATCACAAGAAATGATCGTGAACCTTTATCGTCACTCTTTTCGTCTTCATCCGCTACTGACGGTGCNTTGCTGACTTTTTCGGTCAAACCTTCTTGAACCATTTCACTGAGTTTATCAGCCTGTCCAACCATCAATTCCAACTGCTGATCTAACGCTTTTCTTTTCATTGATTCGATTATTTCCTGAATATTTAAATAGTTGGAACGATAGGATCAAATTTGTTGCTGATCATTATTCATAATCTTGTCAGTCAATCCTTCGATAAATTACAAACAATCCAATTTGACAACGGCGTTCACTAAAAAACTACAGCGATACAGTGACTACAAACCGCAGCATCTGTTGATGATAACTCCCTAAAGCAAACGACTCACGAACCTGTGCTCTGTAATCGACCACCTTATCGACATTCTGCCAGAAGTCACGCACCATTTTCGCGATCAGTGCACAAACACGTTTCGCCTCTCGGATGGCTCGTTGCTGGGCGCGTTCCTCCTCTTGCTCTTTATCTCGTTGCAGTCGAGCGATTTGCGTTGCGAACTATATTCATTTACAATTCATTTCATTCGTAGTGATTGTTGACATCGAGTAACATTACAACTGACATTGAATGGTAATGCCATTACAATGTGCATCCTGGTGACACTGAGTAAAGAACATCAGTTGGNGCATTACTGCACTCATTCAAATTCATTCTCATCGCTTACTTGTTAAAATTCATCGAGCACATTGAGAACAAACAAAAAATCGCAAACAAAAAACAAACAAACAAACAAAATATATTCGAAATCAAGCAGTATTCTCCATGACTCAATTAACATGAGTCGGTTCAAAGTCTGTGTGAAACCACAGAGTATTCACTATGTTCCAAGGGATAAATTATTCAATAAATTTCTAAGATTCAGCAAGAAATGAACAAACAAGGCGAACCTTTTTGGCCGCATGTCGTTTAAAAGTTCTCTCCTGTCGAAAGTCAGCAGCCATCCATCGCATTTCCTCCAGCAGATAATCCCAGTGAGTCTTATTCCTAGCCGGCATATCAATCATTGGCAATCTTGATGCTGTCCACAGTCCTTGACGACGGAGTTCTGCCACTCGCGCCAGCACTTGTGCCTCCTCAAAATTTTCTCTTCAATTGGGTTCAACTTCTTTAGAAGAGCGAAATATAGTGAGATTGTTCTTCGATTCAAAAAACGTTTACAATTGAACAGTGGGCGATTTGTCGCCAATATTCGACAGAACATAACGCTGTGAAGAAGAATATTTCA